AACGAAGGTCAGAGACGGAGATAAAGTCAGAGCTGAAGACAGCAGGAGAGCGGAGCGGAGCCGAGCGGAGCCGAGCGGAGCCGAGCGGAGCCGAGCGGAGCCGAGCGGTCCAATCCTCCTCTGAAACCTCGGAGCTCCTCGCCCCCCCACAGGACTCCTCAAAGATTCATCAGAACTAATGATCGACCCTCATAGAGCTGTGTGCTCATTTCCTCTGAGTGAGCCTCCATGTTTGTGTAAGAAGACAATTTTGGGCCAAAGTACATAAAAGAATCAACATATTTGAATAAGACATGAGTGAAGGTTTTGCAGGCAGGCTCAGAGGATCTTTCTCTACAGCATGGATTTAAAGTGTGAGCACTAGTCGTACATTAATGCATCCATGTGATGTCTGCAGGCTCTATTGAAGAATCCATCCAGCGTGTTTGTTTTTAGCTCTCTTTCCGATAATGTACAGCGAGCTTAATGTTTGAGTCTGCGAGTTAGCTTCAGGCTACAGCTTTACAACCTGTTTACATCTACAGTGGGACCAATTAGCAGTTAGCTGCTTCTGTTAGCAGTGAAATTAGCAGTTAGCTGCTTCTGTTAGCAGTGAAATTAGAAGTTAGCTGCTTCTGTTAGCAGTCGATTAGTGAAACGGCGAGCAGCGGGTTAGTTTGATACTGAAGGAATCTGAACCCTGTAAGGTCTAAACTTTTAAATAATGTCAGGACATTCAACTTCTTTCAAAAAGTATAGATCCCATCACTCCATTTCTTTGCTCCTTACATCGGCACACCTTTAAATACTGCTGATTGTGTTCAACGTGTTAAATGGACTTTCCCCAGCTTACCTTTCAGAACTCCTGTCCCCATATCAGCCGGTAAGAGATCCAAGGTCATCTGACCAAAACCTGTCCATGCTCGTATCCAGGACTAGGGGTTCTAGGGATCTGGCCTTTTATTGTGTGAAACTCTATACCTCCCAACATCGGTCTCTCACCCACTATCAGCGTTTGTTAAGACTCACCTTCAAACATATTTCTACTGCTTTCACCTTTCAATAACCCGTCAACCTCAGGGATCCAGAGCTCTGCAGGTTTTGCGTTACACTGGACATGACTGTCACCTGTTCTCGCACTTTGATTGTTGTTGTTCTTGTCCGTCTTATCTGCGCTGTGCAGCACTTTGGATCAACTGTGTGGTTTGAAAAGTGCTCTATAAATAAAGTTGAGTTCAGGCCGTCTTTGTTACACCAACAGATGGGTCGATTGTTTTCACCTTGGCTGAGCTGAAACCACTGAAAGATCAACCGGTTTCAGTTGAGCCGTCTGTAGCTGCATCCCCGTGCCTCTAGACTGAAGCAGTTTATTGAGTAACCTTCATGAGGTTCCTGCAGATGAACACTAAATAAAGAAGGCTGTAGAGACCGATCCAACCCGGAGTTTAAAAGGTAAAAAGGCAAGCTTCAGTAGCTAATCGACTGCTTTAGACTGGAGAGTAATCTGTTGACTTTCAGCCAATCACATCACTGCTCTCAAAGCTCTGACACAGCTGAGCCAATCACAGTCAAGTATGACAACATCATCTCCAGGACTGACGAAAACAGAATTGCTTTTTCTTCTGTTTTTTTCTGTTCCCAAACTTGTGTTGACGTCACCTGAGGACATTTACCTTCACACGGCCCCCTGCAGAGACTCTGAGGACTTTCTTCTACTTCAACAAATGCAGAGAAAACATCCTGAAACACCTGCAGAGGAGGAATGAGCTGCAGCACTGTAAGACACCTAGTGTCACATATCGGAGCTCATCAGAACACAAAAACATTTCACTGACAAAGACCACACCAAGAGAGATACTGATTTAGAATAGTTTATTATAATATGAATGATGGTGGGATGATCGGAAGATTGAGGGTGGATAGATGAAGGGGGATGAAGGTGGGTGTGTAAGAGGTAAGGGTCGAGAGATGAAGGGATGAAGGTTAGGGTGGAGGAAAGGAGGGATGAAGGGAATGAAGGTTAGGACAGAGGGAAGGAGGGATGAAGGTGAGGGTGGAGGGAACGAGTGATGTAGGTTAGGGTGGAGTGAAGGAGGGATGAAGGTTAGCACGGAGGGAAGGAGGAATGAAGGTGAGGGTGGAGGGATGAAGGGATGAAGGTTAGGACAGAGGGAAGGAGGGACAAGGGATGAAGGTTAGGTTAAAGGGATGGAGGGATGAAGGTGAGGGTTGAGGGAAGGAGGGATGAAGGTTAGGGTGGAGTGAAGGAGGGATGAAGGTTAGGATGAAGGGATGAAGGTGGCGGTGTATGAATTTGTATGAATGGATGAGTTAATACTGATGGACTCTTTTCTCAGCAGCCTCTACCATCAGTGTGTGAATGTGTAGGTGTGGAGTAACAGAGCTTTGAGTAGAAAGACTAGAAAATAGTTAGACAAGCTCAAAACCATTTATCATTTATCATTCCTAACTCCACAACTGTTCGTCAGTGGGGATAATGGTTGTGTCTTTAGTCTCAGGCTGACATTGTTGGCAGGATTACACACACACACACATACACACACACACACACACTGACCTCTGTGTGTGAAAGTCAAATGCACAGCACTCAGGCCTGTCAGAGTGTATCATCCTCTGCAGCAGACAGACACGCAAACACAAACACTGTCACATGAGTTGAGCCAAACACTTATGAATTGACACACACAAACAAACACACACACAAACACACTAACTTGTTCTTTAATGTCTCATTACTACTTTTTTTATAAATGGTTATTTAACATTGTGTGGTTAAATTCATTTTGTTAAAGTTGACAGACATATAGCACCAGTGCATTCTGGGTGTTGAAGTATTTGAACACTTTGCCCAGAAGGGAACAACGCAGCCCATTTTCGGTAACTTCTCTGGCTTTGTAGGATCGATTTCAATTTTTGCACCTTTCTACTGAAAAGACAGTCCAGCTCTATGAATAAAGAGACAGACACATACAGAAACAGTAAAATCTAGCCAGAGGACAGGTCTCTGCAGACACAGTCACCACCACACAGGTATGGAGGCCCAGAAGGGACAATGGAGCAGCTTCACTTTAGGAGAAGTCTGTATTTTATTTTGAAGGAACAAGCTGCTGATTCTGTCTTCAAGTTCAAATTCACACATGCAGAACTGATGACATCTTTCACCTTGATTTCCCTCATGTCCTCGCTCCATCTCTCCAATGAGCTGCAAAAACTAAATTACACCAAGAGAAGAAAAATAACATGCGAGTGAAGAAGCAGCAGCAGAGGCTCTGGAGTAAAATAAGAAACAGAAACAAAGCGAGAGAAGAGAAGCAGCAGGAGGAAGACACAGAAGTAGGACAGGCAGTAGATTAAGCTGCTAGCTGAGCAGTGATTGTCTGTGACAGTTTCTCCTGCATTAACATATGCATGATGTAGTGGATACAGAAGGACGCACGTACTGGAATACGCAGAGATAATCCCCCAAACTACTGCATGAATCACTCCAGGATTTACTGCTTTTATAGGACAGTTTTCTGAGCATCTGCTGGAGCTGTTTTTACACAACAATGCAGCAAAGTACCGGGGCTGGAGAGGGAGGAGAAAACAAACAAAAACGGGATGAAATACAGGAAATATACGATGAAAAAGGAGATTAAATCAGGTTTATTTTGGATTATTAAAGGAGCAGTATGTAACTCTGACCCCTAGTGTCATGGGTACTGCAGTCTAAATTCTAAACATTGTAGAGAGCTGTCTCCCCCCGCCCCCTCCTCTCTAGAGTTGATGCTTACGCAGGTTGCCATGTGGTGGACACTGAAGCTTCAGTGTTTAGCCAGCTCTGCATCGGTCTGTAAACCTTTCTGTGTTCTAACCTCTCTCCATTTTTCAAAAGCATCTCCAATATTGATCCTAGTTTGAGCACGTTTCTGCTCGTGGAGCTTATTAGAAACATGCTGAGGCTTTTTAGGTCGGGTACAATCACTTCTATCTGAACCACTTCTCTTGCTGCTTCCATCACTGCAACACCTGTTGGTTTGACCTGATAACTGCTCTCATATCTGACAAACCGAGGGGCGTCCAAAACGGCCGTGTGGGGGTGCCTTAAAACCGTCTACCTTCTCTGGTCCAAACAAATCCAGATCATTCAGGAGCAGAATCTAAAGTTAGAAGGAGGACATACTGGCTGCTGCATTGTTGTCAGAGAAGCCAGCACTTCAACATAGCATGTTTCATTAATGTCTGATCAGATAGTAAGCTCACTTCATCATTTCACTCACTACACTACACTACCTTTAATGTGGAGAGAGTGACTTAAAGAAAGGTTCAGTCCCTGAATGAACACGTTTGTTCTTTTAAAAACTGAAAGATTTCAGGTTTCGGGGTCTGATAAGTGGATCCTGTGATGTTTTATGTATCACAGTGAAACATGTTGAAATGATGAAGACAATAAATGTGTGTGACAGTGAACAGACAGCTGACATATGGGCCCTGCTCCTGTTATAGTGAAATATAAATATAGACTAGTTCATTTATTTAGACTCTTTACTTTTTCTCTGCATATTTAAAAAAAAAAGAAAGACAAGGTTGGAGACTTGAAGGAAAGGTCATTAAATATAAACAAGGCCAGATGCTGTTTGTCTGTAAAGTGCACTGAATATACGTTTAATTTGAATGTTTCCAATCTAAGTGGAAAGTTTGGATTTCATGAAGTTTCCTCCAAACTTCAAGAACGACATTTTTGTTACGGATGAAGATGTTTGTTTTTTTAACCACAATCCGCTGTGACATCACTTTCTACAAACACACCTCACTACATTCATAACAAACATATTTAACCTCACAGGACACTGATTCTTCTTTGTAGTCGCCCCCTGCTGGACAGTAGAGATAATGCAGGTGTGACCTAGAGACTGCCGGCCTCCTACTCACAGTCTCAGTGAACTCAAACCTTCACCCCTGACCCAGTGAAATCATTAAATCTAAACATGTTTACACTTTAAACTGTTGTGTTCCTTCAGGTCCCGTCTCGCTGATTTCCACATGAACTGCCAGATGACGTCTCACACGGTGACCAGCTGTCCCCATGACAACTACCACGGCTGCCTCATGTCCTACGTCGGCCTCCTCGGTGAGTTTGAAAAGTGATGAGCGTGATCTTTAACCGTTTCTCCGGGCGTTTTCACACCTCACCTGTTTGGCTCGGTTTCAAACGAAGTCGAGTCCGTTTGCCAAGTTAGTGCGGTTTATTTGCGTTGGTGTGAAAGCTGTCAATCAAACCCTGGTGCCGACCAAACACCCGCACAGAGACCGCTTGAAAAGGTCGGTCTCCGTCTGCTTTATTGCTGACTGTGGTGCGGTTCGTTTGTAAGAACATGAACCGACCTCGATCCGACCTGACTGCGGGAAGTAACCACCCTGGACTCTCTCTGTTCATCACTGCTGACGATCACAGCAACGCAGCAGCCTCATTGGTCAATAGAGCTGTCTATCATGGAGTTATATACCCCTTTAATAGAAAGAGTAACACTCAGACATCAATCAACGTGATGAGAACTAACTATAATGACAGACACCCTGAATGAGAAACATTTATTTGACGTGTATTTTGACTTTATGGTTTGACCCATCTGTTAACATGGAGGAGGCGGGGCTTATGACCTACACCGCAGACAGCAAAGGGAGCTCTACATGTTTTGGCTTCACTTCTGGGGAGCTGTAAAGACATCCTTCCTGTTGTTGTTTAGGTACTTCCTGATTGAGCTCTGTGTGACTGTACATGATGGGGAATCGAGTGTGTTAGCCGTTATATCCTCACAGGGAGCCTCCCTTTTCTCGGCTCTTCATTCGAGACTGGAGCGATTTTTGAATGAGTCACTCCTCCTCTGGAATTCATCCCTGATTCAATTCCCAATTTACAAAAATCCTCTTTACCTTTCTCCTCGGCTAATCTGCTGCTAATTCTTATTCCTCCGTAACAGTTACTGCTCCCCTCCCCCTCCTCCTCTGACTCTCTCTCTCACTCTCTCTCTGTCTCTGTGTGTCTGTCTCTCTACCTGTCTCTCTCTCAGGCTCTGATGTAACACCTAACTACAGCGACAGCAGCCCGTCCAACATTACCATCAGCCTGTGGTGCAGCTGCAGGGGAGCAGGAAGTCAGGAGGCTGAGTGTGACGCTTTCCACCGAGACTTCACACACAACACCTGCCTCAGTGAGTCCTCACTCTGTGTTTACTCTATACTTATGAGGACCAAACACACACAAACACACAACACCTGCCTCAGTGAGTCCTCACTCTGTGTTTACTCTATACTTATGAGGACCAAACACACAACACCTGCCTCAGTGAGTCCTCACTCTGTGTTTACTCTATACTTATGAGGACCAAACACACAACACCTGCCTCAGTGAGTCTTTACTCTGTGTTTACACTATACTTATGAGGACCAAACACGCAACACCTGCCTCAGTGAGTCTTTACTCTGTGTTTACTCTATACTTATGAGGACCAAACACACACAAACACACAACACCTGCCTCAGTGAGTCTTTACTCTGTGTTTATACTATACATATGAGGACCAAACACACAACACCAGCCTTAGTGAGTCTTTACTCTGTGTTTATTCTATACTAATGAGGACCAAACACACACACACACACACACACACACACACACACACACACACACACACACACACACAACACTTGCCTCAGTGAGTCTGTACTCTGTGTTTATACTATACTGTACTATAATATGTGTGCATAAGTGCGTGTGTGTGTATGTGTGTATGTGTGTGTGTTTACAGCAGTAAGAGGGAAAAGTGTGAGCGAGAGGAAGATAAGTGAGGAGAAAGGTTAGACAGAGACGATGTGTTCAAGGTCCCCTGATACTTTTCTGTAAATAACAGCGCTGCAGCTACTTTCTCACCTCTGCAGCTTTTCTTCTGACTTGCTCCCTCCGCTGCTGCAGGTCAAGGAAACACACACTATTACACTCACACACACACACATGCTCAAAAAGCACCGTATGGATTATCGGAGCTTCAGTTCAATATGTATGAAACATCATCATAACCTAATCGTACCGACACACGCTTGTGCTAGCGTGTGTTAGCTCGCAGTGTAGCCACAAGCACACACATCCTGCAGGGGGCGGGGCTTCTGGGGGCGATGAGCCCAGGAGGAGGGGCTATGTTTGAATGTTGTGTTTACGAACATTTCTACTGACTCCATCTTTAAATGTTTCCAGCTTCTCTGACTTTATGGATTTGCTGCTTTAGATATCTGAAGTGTATTTCGGTTTCAGGTTAGAACTTTTATTTTACCAAACAAGCTTTTGTTAAAGTGAAGTTAGGTCGATTATTATTAAGTTTTATTCACTTAACTATTTATTCAATAACTGTAATAGAAACAGGCTTCGGACAGAAACACAGAAAACAAGAGTGAGAGGTCTGATCGGACTATAAAACTTTTAAAGTGAAGCCCTCACAGAGGAAGAGGAGCGTCTGTGTCTACATGCTGAGAGGTTTGAGTGTGAGGAAGAGTTCATCAATCATTGACAGAAAACATCGGAGCAGAGTGAACTACACGCTCTAACGTGGCCTGAACGTGTCGGACCTGAAAGGTTTGATGTTTGTGTGTTGATGGTTTCTGGTCCTGAGAGGAGCTAGGTGGACGTGTGGGTCTTAATTATTCAGCTCACTCCACACAAACAAATATAATCTGTTGGTGGATTTTCTGACCTTTTGAAACAGATATTCTAACCCCCTGAACATCTGATCACAAGATCCTCCTGGACGTCTTGCTCTGGAGCTTTTTTCAGACATGTCCAAACTGTTTGAGTCCCGGGTTAAGACCCAGAACACGCTGACGGGATTATTAATCTCACATGGTGTGGGATCCCTGCGGAGGATCTGTAAAACCTTCTACAGAGGAGAGGGAGTCTGGGATCGTTTGGTTGGGTCTGCTGCTGCTTTAACTTCCCCCAAAACCAACTTGTCAAAATCCATATATTATTCATAAAGAGATTTTTTGTCAGAATGTTAACAGGAAGTCAACAGGTAAAATAAGGACCTCCTTCGGTTCCATGTTGAGACACTTCACACTACCTTCCTCCATCTCAAACTGGGCTCCTCGATGTTCACAGAATAGAACTCAGGAGTCGGCCATTGTTGTTGTAGTCCATCTACTCGTGTCTAATGACAGGAAGTGAATGCACACGTGTGAAAACAAGTCTTAATTTTTAGAGGAGCTGCATATTCACCAGTTTACATGATGAAGGAGACACTGCTGTTTTTAGAGGTTTGCACTCTGGAGCCAGTTTTCAAGACGTTTGTGTTTTCAGGCGTCCAAAACGTTTGAGGGAACAACCAGAACACAACAAAAATTCACAGTTTTGTCATCGTTGTCATGTCAACAGGGCCATACAAATCATATGTTGAACCTCCTGATTACCCCACAGACTAAGGCCCCGTGTCCACCTGCCATTTTTTTCCAGGCGGAAAAGTGCTGATGAAGCACACTACATCAAAACCCTTCATGATAATCTCACCGCTGGCTGAAATCCCACCAACAAGTATTTGAATGGTCGTTTAACGCCTTCCTCCACTCTGTTTGTGTTTTGTTTTTTTATCCCCTTAACAGGAAACGCCATCCAGTCATTCGGCTACGGCTCAGAGGGAGGAGTTCATCACATGACCGAGCCATCTTCCACCTTCCTCCCCCCCGCCCAGCCGCCAATCATCTCCAAACCCGCCCCCTCCTTACACGGCAACGCAATCAAACCCATGGACAGCGCGTGCATGTTCTCCACCTGCGCCAACCTGCAGGTGAGTGTTGAAAACGATGGTTTGAGAATCCCCCCCCCCTTTCTGCCTCCAGATCATTAAGACAACCTTTAAAAACATTCAAGGAAACCAGCTCCCGAAGATTTAAAGTATCTTGCAACCGATTCCAAGAAGAGGGAGCAGCATACTTGAACGCCCTTTTTCCAAATTCGGTACGCGCTTTAGGGATGGTTAGAAGGTGTAAATCCTGCAAGCGAAGATGGTAACTTCCATTACTTTTTTGAAGTATGTAGCTCTGTAGGTAGGATGGAAGCAGACCGAGAATACAAGGAGCAGTGGTGAATAAGGGCTTTTAGATTGGTGATAAACCTCAGTGCCCCATGGTAGACAGTATCCAGTGCATGTAGGTGATACCCCCCCGATGGAGTCTAGACCCTGGTGTTGGTGGTGATATAAGAATGCAGGATGTGGAGCGCGACGTGCAGACAGAAAAAGATCCGGCGTATGTGCTTTGCTCCTCTTCACCTTCACACACATTAACATCTTCCTGGTGCATGCTGGGAAAGTGGAAACCATCCATTATGTACAGGAGGAGGTGTTAGGTGGAGGTCAAAGGCCACTTTAAATTGCTTTCCATTATGTGGGAGATTTAAAGCATGAGTTATAGAAAGCCTGAAATGTACTGTGACTGAATGTAGAGATATTAACGAACACCGTCGAACACACACTGCCTTTAAAACGTATTCATCATCGTGTACCGATAAATTATAGATATTATGTTAGCTTCATGAAAGAACTCCACATCTGTCCTACCAATGAAGCTGAAATAATGACATGTTTAGCCTAGTTTAGCATAAAGACAGGAAGTAGCTGGTTCAGTTTTAAAGCTCAGTGATGAACACGTTGTGATGAGATGTTTGAATGGCAGGTTGTCGTTGTAGGTGGCGTTTCTTTGTTGGTGTGCAGCGTACAGCAGGCATGTTCAGGTTTGAACCCCCGACCTTCCGGTTAGGAGATGACAGACTCTACCAGTGAGCCACAGCCGCCCCTAAATATGATTGATCTTAAAACTGAAGATGAACCCTTTTTGTGACCCGTGCAGCTCAAACCTCGTCCTCTCTGCAGAAAGATTCCCTTAGCTGGACCGATCCCTCGTCCATGACCCGGTCAACACTGTCTCAGTAAGAAGTGGGTTGTTTTAGTTTTATAGAACTTTTCTTAAAGTCGGTATGTTTGCTAACTCTGACCCGCCAGATGCAGTTCGACAGCATCCAATCACTGAGCTTAAAACTCTCTCACATGTGCAGCTGAAGGGCTGTTAAATGTCAGTATGAAAGAGTTTAGATTGTTTAAATTCAAACCTACAGTGTGAATTAAGATGCACATGTTGTTGTTTTGTTGAAGCCCTTGTTTATTTGTTTATTTGTTGATGTCTTTATGTTGCTGATTGAATTTCACTGTGTGGTTTTCCTTCATGTCGTTACTCTTCCATGACAGCAGCTCCTGTTTTGGCTGCACAGAGCAGAAGTGTAGCTGCGGCGTCCCCCTCTCCTCCCTCAGCTCGTATCTCCGTCGGCTCATTGTGATGCTCGCCTGAACCCGGCCGAGCCTCAGGGTCGATGTGTTTCCCTTTATGTGGAGTCTGCAGACATCGTGTAGCACAGGGAGGCTGTCTGCTGCCGGTGGCTGGCTCAGTTTACAGCGAGGTTTTGTTTTGGGATTTGGCCATCTTCCACTCGCGCCTCAGTTGCTGACATGACTGAGGTGCTGCAGGAAACTAGACTAAGAGATTAAATCAACTGAGAAGAAGAAACATTTCATCATAGACTTCTAAATAATCCAACTTATTTCTGTAACCAGTGTAGTCGCCCCCTGCTGGTCATTAAAATAATGCAGATAAAAGCTACTTCTATTTGTTTTATCCATCCATTTTCTGTCGTTTATCCGAGTTAGCAAGCACAGTAAGTCAGCCCAGACCTCCCTCTCCCCAGTAACGGTTTCCAGCTCCTCCTGGGGCCTTCTGAGGCGTTCTCAGACCAGACCGGATATATAATCCCTCCAGCGAAATCTGGGTCTACCCGGGGGTCTCCTCACATTTGGGTGTGCCTGGAAAACCTCCAAAGGGAGGCGTTCAGCAGGATCATAATCAGATGCCTGAACCACCTCAACTCGCTCCTTTCGATACGAAGGAGTTGTGGCTCTACTCTGATTTGTTTTATACAGTCAGAAATACAAATCTCAGTCCTTGACTGTGGGAGTAAATATCAGAAAAATAAAAGTATGTCCCCTCTCCACAGTCGGCAGCTCACTTTGAATTGGAGCCTTTGGAGACATTGACTGATATTCTCTTTTATTACTTCGTCTGCACACAATTTAACCACCCTACCTGACCCCCCTCACACCATCATTTCTACCCCTCCACTGGGTCCATGAAGAAACGCGGCTGCACCTGCAAACTGCAATCTGTCAGCACTTTCAAAAAGCCATTTGTAAATACCTGGAATGTCAGTTTGTGCATTTCCAGTAAACATGAACCCTCGGCGGTCACACACCAGCAGAGAAGAAGTTACATGTGAAACATAACAGATATGTTACAGAGGGAGTGAGAGGTGGAGAAATAACATGCCATGTCCCTCTGGATGATGTATATGAACTCATGCACGCTGCTGTGAATTCATTTCCTGAATTGTATCATTTTCACATATACGCATCATTTCTCTGTGAGCTTTGCTGAGCAGTCAGTTTGGAGGAAACAGACCTGCAGAGGCGTACAGTGTCAGGAGAGGTTACTGCTGTGATAGTCGATATGATAATGAATCATCTGCACGCTTTAATGATCACTATAACAACTTTGTGTGTGTGTGTGTGTGTGTGTGTGCGCACATGGATCTGCACATGTATATTTCAGAGGAGATGATAATGATCCAGCGTGCAGCATTTCTCTCATTCTGCTCTCAACAATTTCTCGTCACTGAGAGAGATTTTCTTCCTTCCCTTCAGGCGATAACATCCGATTGGCTCCCCCCACCCAGGTACCAGGAGGAGATATGCTAATAAAGAGCAGACAAAGAGGCTGATGGAGGAGTGCGATAAATGTGTATGTGTATGTGTGAGCAGCACTAAGTGTGCATCCTTAATTCACGCTCACACTACTGGTCTGCATTTCAATGACTGTGAGCAACGTTTAACTGTTTCTGGTCCATCCTGCAGAGACAATGAGACGGCCTTTCTTCAGCAGCGGCTGGTTTAGGATGATTATTTAAAAGAAGGGCTTAAAGCTTCTCAGAGTAAAAAGTCTTGGAAATACACTTGATCTGTGTTGGATATCAGTTTGAACCATTTCAACTCTGCAATAGAAATGAAGCCAATGATGAAGTACTTCTGCTTTTAATTGTGAAAATTTAAATTTAAATTTGGAAGTTTTTCATTATATATAATTCAAACTAGTGTTTATTTTAGTCAGTAAACCATACTATTTGATACAAGTATAAATATTGTGAAATTCAAACATGAAACAAATTGATCATTAACGACTCTTAAACATGACAAACTACTCCTTAATTTAATTTTGTTTGTCAATATTATTTGTAACTCTAGAGTTATATGTTTCTACTTTTTTTACCCCTTCATTTTTTTTTATTTCACAGGTAACCTTTACATTTTAATACACACCTGTACATTTTAATATTCTGTTTCTGTGAACACATCCATCAAAACATTACAGTGTCCTTGGATAATGTAATGGCACTTTCTTACTTCTGAGGGTGTTCCACAGGGGTCCTTCCTTGGCCCACTTTTATTTCTAATTCCCGTTTCCTTTCCGTCAGATGATACAAAACCATGATTTTGTGCTATGCAGATGATACATTGTTATAATTTGATATTACATGTCTCATTATTTCCACTGGATGGGCTGATGTGGATGTTTAGGTGTGAACAAAAGGTGATAGGACATTTTCAGAGTACTTGGAAGATGTAATGGCACTTTCTTACTCCTGACGCAAGGCCAGTTTAAACAGCAGCACTTGTTATTCTTGAGGTGTTCCACAAGGGTCCTTCCTTGGCCCACTTTTGTTTTCAGTTCATGCTTTCCTTCGTTCAGATGATTAAAACCAGGATATCTGATTTTGTGTTATGCAGGTGACACATTGTTATATTTTTCACAATTGTCCCATTATTTCCACTAAAAGGAGCTGGTCTGGATATTTGAGGTGGGCACAAAAGATGATGTACATTATCTTTAGGAAGCAACTGTGGCTCAGTTGGTAGAGTAGGTCATCTCTCAACCAGAAGGTCGGGGTTTCGATCCCCAGCTCCTGCAGCCCATGTCCGATGTGTCCTTGGGCAAGACACTTAACCCCAAGTTGCTCCAGCTGCTTCATCAGTTTCTCGTTAATACTGATGGACTCTTTACTCAGCAGCCTCTACCATCAGTGTGTGAATGTTTAGGTGTGACCTGCGGTGTAAAAAAAAACTTTGAGTCGTCAGAAGACTAGAAAAGAAATATACAAGCTCAGGTCCTTATCCATTTCAGTGTAAGCCTCAAGACTAATTAATGTGGCTTTTGAGATGAACTCCATCAGTTTTTAATTACTTTAACAATTCTTTAACAAACATTTAACTTTTTAAACTGCTTGTTTTACATGCATCTGCTTCTGTTGTGCACACATCTTTACTGCTCTTATTGTCATGTATGTTCCACTGCAGTCTGGGTTTGCAATTGGAGGAGTACAAACTGTTTTGGTCCATTTTGAGCTTTCTCTGGTTTGGTCACAGACTGAAGAGGGACTGATGTTCAGCCATAACTCAGACTATCATCATCAGTAAAAGTCCTGTTGGTTACGGAACAACATCCTGCTGTTATAAGAGTCATAAAAAGTCTACTTTTAATAAAGCAGGGTTAATTGTACTGACAGTGAGTGGGCAGACGATAAGGAATTTTAAAAATGTGTTTCTCATAATGAGTTCTTGTCTTACAGGATGGAGGCCAGAAGTGCATCCCCTCTGACGAGTTTGAGTGCGAGGAGGTGAGGAGCTTTGATTACACTCCAGAAACACTCCAAAAATAATGATGGAAACCCTGTTAAGCTTTAATAAGATCTGCTGTGTCTGTGCCCATCAAATATAAATATGTGATCCTCCTACTGCATGTGTACTTCTCTGACAATTAGATGGATGTATGTGAGATGGTCACGTTCAGCAGCTTTGGATGCATTAACTCAAAACAAGAAATCTTCAAAATACAATTTAACATCAGTGAAAGACTGAGCTATGTTGTGAATGTTCATAGCACTGTAACATGCTGTCAGTATGCCACACCACATTTTTTAACAATGATATGTTTCTGAGAGAAATAAGACAACTCTTAAAGGCAGGGTTTGTCATTTTCTAAAACTAGCATGATTTTGAAAGTAGCATTCCCTCAGTGCTTACAAGTGCTACAGATGACGGATTTTCTTTGTTCCTTTTTCAGAGCACATGACTTGTTAATTTTTTGTCAGGACCTAAAGTAAATTTCAACCCAAATCTTAAAAAGTGGATCTGGAGGAAACTACCAACCCTGCCTTTAAGTGTTTACTTCCATCTCTAATATCTTCTGTTCTCTGTTTTCCCCCTTTAATCTGATGTATGCAAAGTGAATCAAAAACTAACAACAACAGACGTTCAGGCAAAATCAGGCATATGCTGTTCCTCGAATCCATAAATGATGGGCGTGCAACTTGTTTTAAATGTCTGCTTCCTGTTTTATCAGACAGTTTAGGGGAATATTAACATTCTTGTGAACAGGAACAGGTGGTGACTTGATTCACTCTAAACCAGATGTAGGAGAAACACATGGTCCTTATGTTTCTGAGACATTTTGAAAATGGACGCCTGAATGGAAACATGACAAACATGGAGTCTGAACACACTTTAATCCAGCTTTAATGGACCAAAGAACTGAGCGTGTAGGATTCATTCTGGGCATATACGTCTTTAGCTATGGTTGAAGCTCTGGGACGTGCAGAGAGCTAAATGCTTACATTACTTTGCTAATTAGCTGTAAACACAGCAATGACCTGAGGTGGATAAATGTTGCATTTTTTTAAAGTTTTAAGTCAGCGTTGCACCAAGGTGATAGAGATAAATTTAAACCGATGTCCCTAAAATATCTGTTATACAAACCAAACGATGTTCAGGCTGTTGTGAAGATTTCCACACAAAGTCTTGTTCCCATTTATATATGCATTTAAGTTAAATTGCGTCTTCTTATTCAGCAGCGGAAGTTTGCACAGCTAAGAGGGACGGACAAATAGTTTGCTGGAAATTGCATATTTATCCTAAAACAGTTTTTACCTTTTTTCTGTTCAGAGGCAAAAAAATATCAGAAATAAATACTAGAGATGTAAACAACTCCTAAGCCGGGTTCATCATCACATCCTGCTGCAGCAGAGGAAACTGAAATGTAATCTTTCGTACTGCACCTGATCAGATGAGACGGTAGCAGAGAAAGACAGGGTCATAGGGTTTTAATAGTAAGCAGTGAATAACAGTGAGTGTCTAAAATCTCTCGACATGATGAACATGAGACAGTCTGTAAGGTTAATGGCGCAATATGTAACTTTGACCCCTAGTGTTGGGTACTGCAGTCTAAATCTTAAACATTGTAGAGAGCTGTCTCCCCCCCCCACTCCTCTGTAGAATCCATGCTCACGCAGGTTGCCATGTGGTGGACACTGAAGCTTCAGTGTTTATCCAGCTCTGCATCGGTCTGTAAGCCTTTCTGTGTTCTAACCTCTCTCCATTTTTCAAAAGCATCTCCAATATTGATCCTAGTTTGAGCACGTTTCTGCTCGTGGAGCTTATTAGAAACATGCAGAGGCTTTTTAGGTCGAGTACAATCACTTCTATCTGAACCACTTCTCTTGCCCGCTTCCATCACTGCAACACCTGTTGACCTGATAACTGCTCTCATATCTGGCAAACCGAGGGGCGTCCAAAACGGCCGTGTGGCAGTGTCTTAAAACCGTCTACCTTCTCTGGTCCAAACAAATCCAGATCATTCAGGACCAGAATCTAAAGTTAGAAGGAGGACATACTGGCTGCTGCATTGTTGTCAGAGAAGCCAGCACTTCAACAGCATGTTTTCCTTATGTCTGATCAGATAGTAAGGTCACTTTATCATTTCACTCACTACACATCTCACTGATTGGACCTTTAATTTTGAAGACAGCATATTGGCTGCAGCCTCCTCACAGTCTGGCACGGTCTCTCCTACACAGTGTCGTTCATATTGAGAGCAGTGTTACACCTGGTTTGGCATTTTGACTCTCTAAATAATAACCTTGAGTCACACCTCTGATAGCGACAGTGTCAAGTCTCATTTGGTGCTGTGTTCCTGCAGGTTTATGTAATATATATGTAAATATCAACATCCAATCTCTGCTGGGTGACTTCACTCACACTTTCATCCTTCACTTCTCATTTCAAAGTAGAGGAAGAACAGGATGTGTTCAATTCACATCCTGAAAAATACATTCTTGATTCATGATTCGTGTCTAAATGACTGATAGGTAAACAAGTTTTGGACTTGCTCCAGAAGAAGACTTCAGCCTGCAGCAGTGAAACAAGCTGTCTCATGGCTGCTGAAGAAATCCACTTGAAACACTCCTCAGTATTGTCTTCCTGTTACTCAATTAAAGCCAAAAATATGTGCAGTCAGGAACTGAAAATATTGGAATTCTGCTTTCTTGATTTGGTTTCTATTAACGCTCTAACCTTTACCTGCCTCACTCCTCCTCTCTCTCTCTCTCTCTCTCCTCTTGAACGCCCCCCCCCCCCCCCCCCTTCAGGCTCTGTTGGCCCAGGGGTCAATAGACTCTCAGGACTCTGCGGGGCCCAAGAGCGGCAGCCGGCAATCAGCTCCGCTCCTCCACCGCCTCTCTGTGACTGTGTGTGTATCCGTCCTGCCAACATTTCTACTCCTCGTCTCATAAACATGAACGCTCACATGCACACTGCACAAACACTCAAACCAACACACACACCCACATACACACACACACACCCACACAGTCATAAATGGCAGAGAAAGTCACACGACTCTTAAGCCCTCCGCTGCGGGAAAATGTCAACCACCAGACATCCAAACATCATCTTCGGCCTTTAGAGGAGGGAAAGTGTTCTGGAGGACGTTCAGATTCTCTCTCCACACACACACACACACACACACACACACACACACACACACACACACACACACACACACACACACACACACACACACACAATGAAGATGAGGAATGGAAGAAGAGGAGGAAGAAGCGGGACTGAATTTGGTTGAGAGGGCGGGGAATTACAAAGGCAGAGACAGAGAGACTCTTGGGATTTTGGATCATGCCGACTTCATTTCCAAATCTCCGGGTCTCGAGGGTTTGTGTTGCTTTTTGTGCAGACCCGTCGCTGACTCACTCCCTCCAGCTTTTTTGGATCCGAGACAGCTGGGCTAAAAAAACCGAGGGACAAAAAAACACACACACACAACACACACACACACACACACACACACACACACACACACACACACGGACAGTAAGACTTAAAATCTGCAGTGTGAGACGGAGGGACAGAGGACTGACAGATGGTGCCGATCCTTCCTCGGCGTTTGTCAGCTCAATTTATCAATTCCCTGGACCTCTCCCGTGGCAAGAAATCTATACTACAAACATACAGAGCACAAACATACACACATGTACACACACACACACACACACAACACACACACACACACACACACACACACACACACACACACTCTCGCCCTCCCCTTAGACCTCGTTAGCGGGCAAACAGGGTCCCCACATGGACACACATTCATGCTGTACACCAGTGTGCTTTTTGCGGGTCTTTCTCTTGATTTTGTCGTCGACATTCTGTACAAACTTCATTTAATGTGGAATCTGACAAAACGCGTCCATCCCACAGAGTCTCTATGGAAGAGTGTATATTTCACTTTGTGTAAGTGTAAAGTTGAGTGTGTGAGTCTTTCTTTATGTGGACGTGTGTTTGTTGGGAGTGTGTGTGTGTTTCTGAATGTGGGTGTTTCTGTGTGTTTATGGCGGCAAAGAGAAGACTCAAATCTTACCGGCAGCTGAACATCGTAATGTGAAACTGTATCGATACTGAATAATGAAAAGGTGCGTTCAAAACGTTGGACCTATTTTAGGGTATAAACGACTTACAGAAACTTTCAGAGGAATCACTCCAGTAGATTTCTTCAGTGAAACAGAACGTAATGGCTGCAACATCATTCACCATATGAAAGTCTGTCCAATAAAAGTCGCTTTGTTTTTGTCCCTGACAGGCTCAGGCTGTTATTCTCTCTCTGCCAATTTCCACATAGTCCGTGGGTGCTGCGTTCCGTCAGGGCCGCAGTTTTTCCATCTGACCGCGGCTGCCCTGCCCCACTGTGCCCGTTTTTTGGATGGCAGCCATGAGCAGCTGTACTCGCATCACAGGAGAAGTACAACTGATCAAGACCAGGAGTCTGTTTATTGTGTTGGATTTTGAAACTGACCGGATGCTCTGTGTGATTCCTCGTCTGACTTCCTGTCCAGGGTGATCAATCTGTGCATCTTGACGCATCTTGAGTGCAGTTCCCATGGACTATGTGAGAATTGGCAGTAAGTGTGTGGGACTGGAGAACAGGAAACACAATGCAGCAGGTTCATTAGAGCGCATAGATGGTAGAAGTGGCGTGCAGACAGTCGTGCAGCGATCACAGGGAATAAACGTCACCACCCCCTCTCACTCGCTCCAGGTGAATTCTCCTGATTATATCCTGCTGCGTTCTCACATCAGCTCACTCTGACTTTCTGCAGAATAAATACGAGGAGGCTGGAGGAGAAACTCTGGACAAAGGTATCAGGAGTTTTTCAGGAGTTTTCCGCATACGTGAGAGCACTTTGAGTTGATTTATTTTAACCCCGATGGAAATTTCTAAATCTGAGAACATCCTGAGAAGTGGAGCTCAAAGGTTCTTTCCTTACCGATTTAAACTTCTAATCTGTGATTTGAAGACTGAATGTATTATTTTGAATATTTTACAGCCATAATAGCAGAGTTTAAGAAGTAGGAGAATGAGTAATGCCCTTTTAAAAGATTGCATCATACAACACCATCACTGTGCGGTGGAGCCCGAGCAGTTTTCATATTCAGTTGATGATAATCGCTGGTTTGTGTTTCTGGATTTCACAGTTTTACGTCATGGTGAATTGTTGTGTTTGTGCTGGCAGCCCAAACATCTCGATTTTTAAAAACAAGGAAAGGAATGGTGCAATTCTCTGCCCTTGAAAAACATCAAAGATTATCAGGAAGATGGTCTGAGAAAGGTCAAAGTTCAGGTCTGTTGGTCCCATGTAGACAGCCAATAACAGACCAACCAAGACCAAACATGTTGTTGGACAGTTTCACAATAAATGATTCAGTTGCCTCTATGATTTCAAACGGACTTCTTCTTTTTGCTACCATGAAGGTGTTTAACCTCTGTGTGTGTGTATGGGTTCTTCAGTGTGTTCTTTACCTCCGGCCAACTCTATGGGGTATTTTTTTATGTTTCATAGCAGCTACCAGGACGTGGATCAAGAACTAAAATGTGCTGTGAGATCGGCCACCAGACGTTAGGTTCAGGTGGGGACGTCACCTGCTGTCCTCCATCAGCTGGAAGTGAAAGAGAGATCAGTTTCTGTGACTACGGTGTGGCCTTACTTCACTGTTCTTTCTTACAAACTTGACAGAGGGAGAGTGGTTATTGTTGCATCGCCAGCAGCCCCCATAAGTGGGAACATGTTGAATGCCTTGGTCCAGAGTTTGAATGTCAGAATGCCAGATTGTCATTTAATTAAAGGAGTAGGCTTGTGTAACCTGATTATTCAGACCCTTTCCAAAGCAAAGCCACTGTGGGAAGTTTTGATTTGACCAGCATTTTCTGAGAAACCTTAAACTAAACTTATTATTTGGAATTCATGGTACCAGAACGATTAAAAACGAAAGCTTTTGTCATCCCACTGACTTTTTCAAAGCATTTTGAAGAGACTGAATTTAAGAAGAAGTCATGGAAAGAGATCTTCTGTATCGTATATTAGTAATCATCTCCAGGGGATAACACAAACACTTAAAGTGACCCCTTATTGCCCCTTGGTGCCATCCTCCAGCTTTCGTTTCATTGTCGGAACCGGGCCCAGATCCGAGTACACGTGACCCCAAAGTCTGGTTCATTTGATCAGTGTGAACACAAACATACCATAATCGAACTGTACTCGCATACCATGCCTGAGACCGTCTACGGTCTGCAGCTAGCTTCCGTGCTTAAACAAAAAAGTAGACCGCTATATGACAAAATTCTTACCGGCTCCTGTTCAAAAACCGTCTATCCGCACAGCACCAACTAACAATGGCATCTTAACAAACTACTTCCTTTAACCACATAAAAAATCAATTATCCGTCTTGAATGAATGCTATTTTTTGTTAAACATTTGATCCAGTGGAGCACCAAGAAATCTTAGAAGTCGAGACCTGAAAAGTAGACAGTAGTAAACTCCAATTCAGTATTTATCTTGAAAGAAAATGTATTATTATAAAGCTTTTACAGAAGATCTCTTGTTGTGACAAAATAACACAAAAGATGAAGATTCAGTGACCAGTTGAAAATGTTATGATAATAAAATAAGGGGACCCACAACGGATCCCTGCGGGACGCCAAAAGAGGTAACTGCATTAATAAGAATTATTTTCTAATGAAACAATGTTTCTTATCGCTGTCTTAATTTGAAACCTCTGCTCCATCAGCAATATTCACTTTCTAAATCCAAACTACTGATAATGTTTAAAGAAAAGCTGAATACATCCAGCCCAAAACATTCTCTCTGTTGGCCAAAGCAAACTTTTCAGCGTGTAGGGGGCTGCTCGCGAGGCTTTATGATTATGTGGAGAGAAAGAGTAATGAGTGTGTGAGTGGAGGAAACAGGTGGGAGTGAGGTTGTACATTTGCTGATATATTTGTAAAGTTTAACAGAGCTACAGCGTGTAACTGAAATCTGTGTCTGGAGATCTAAATAAAAGTAACATCTGTAACAACAGCTGTTGGGTTTTCTGTGCGGGCTCACTCTCCTAGCATGTGTGAGAAACAGACGGGTGGGCCGTGATTCAAACATGCTCACTGATTTTAACACATTAAACGAGTGTAATCAAAGGGCTGCTTCTAACAGGAAAACAGTCCTATATTCATTTCAGGACAAACCAGGTTTCTTAATATACAGTACCACACCTTTTGGTTTTCAATATTTTTATTTTTTTCCCCTGAATCACTCACATATCCTTTAGAAACATCATTTGTTTTTGTCCTGCACTCGTTTAAGTGATCAATCATTCGTGTTCAAAGTTTTTGAGATCTATGTGAATACAGTTTGTACTTACTTAAACAGTAAATCTCTGAAGTTTGAAGAGACAAACGTCTATGTCTCATCTGGTCCTGTTTGCCTTTGGAAAAATACATAAAAAAGAAGACACATTGCTGTAATAGAGAAAATATTACTGACCCAATTAAAGTAAGCTTACTGTATAGAGCAGTGGTTCTCAAACTGTGGTGGTACGCAAAGAAATCTCCACAATATAAAAAAAAAAACGTTCAGCATAAAAGGACATTTTTTATTTTTTTTGTCATACTCTTATCTTATCTGTCTTGTATCTATTGGGTTGTATTTATATAAAATGTGTTTTCCCCTCTAAATCTAGTTTTTGCAACAAACGACTTTAATCTGCTTAATTTTTGCTTGCGCGCGCACACAGACATACACTACAACAGGCGTACGCCTCTTGTTTTGAAAAGTTCCACTCGATATTCCGTTATAGTTCAGTACTGAAACAACAGCAAGCAGCTGTAGTCCTACATTAACAGATATTCTGTTATTTATTGGAGTTCAGCACAATTGGCAGCAAGCAGCTGTACATAACGGAGCCAGGAGAAGCTTCAGTTTTTGATGCATGTACGGACAGTCGCTCACCCTCTTTCTCTCTCTGTTGCTCTGAAGCTGATGTGATTCTGCTCTATTTTGCTGTCTTAACACTAACCACCATCATTCTAGACCTCCAAGCGCCGCAGCTGTCTTTCAGACGGCATATGCAAATGAAATAGTTTGTGCTCAGTAGCACACAAATAATGCATTTTTTTGATGAAGTTAAATACAACTTACTTTTTACCTACAAACCAAATAGACTATCAGCATAAGGCAGGATCGGTAATCTTTTAAATGTTGCATGTCAATTTACAATATCTGTCGGCTTTTTTATTGCGCCGTTTTTTACTGCTGCTCCACGTCTCCCGTTGCTAAAACAAATTCTACAATAATGAAACAGACATAACTTTTAGTCTATTATATTGTTGGATATATTAGGCTATGCATTTTAATAAAAAACACTGCA